CAAAGGGATGCACGGCCCAGCCCCAGTCTGACAGCCCCAGGAGTAGCAGTGCTGTGTCTGGAAAGCAAGCGCACAACAGAAATGAATCCCTGGCTGGAAAATTTCTGGAAGTTTGCTTAGCTCCAAAAGAAACCCTGAAGCTGTGAGGTCTGATGCTGGCTGTACTTTTTTCCCCTGGTGTGAGACAGTGGTTCCCAGCACCTTTCTGACTCTTTGTGCTGATGGATGTAGCATAGTGCTGTGAATTTTATCTGGGTTTAGATCAGCTGATGCTGCTCTTTAAAAAGAGACCTTCATCCTCTGAAGCTGCAAGGATTCATCATGAATGACAAAGGCTTTAACGATGCTGTTGTCATTCTGGCCTATCTGTAACTCTTAGATGTTATCTGAGAAGAGCAGGATGGTTTGGCTTCAGGCTGAGCCTCACAGCCCCTTTGCTCCCTGCCTGCTCCTGCCTCCTAGCCCTGATGTGGGCACAGGGAAGGGATGAAAGGCCAGAGGGCAGAACTGTAGGAATGAAGGGAACAAATGGAAATGAGAGGCTACCAGTAACTCTAGAGTTAAATAAATCACAGAATCCTGGAATGGTTTACTTGGAAGGAACTTAAAGTCCATCCTGTCCCACCCCCATGGGCAGGGACACTTTCCACTGTCCCAGGATGCTCCAAGTGTCCAACCTGGCCTTGGACACTTCCAGGGATTCAGGGGCAGTCACAGCTGCTCTGGGCACCCTGTGCCAGGGTCTCCCACTCTCAGGGTAGTTCTTCCCACAGGGAAAAATTTCTTCCTGAAATCTAATCTAAATCTACTCTCCTTCAGGCTGAGGCCATTCCACCTTGTCCTGCCCCTCCATCCCATGTCCCCAGTCCTTCCCCAGTCCCCTGGAGCCCCTTTAGGCCCTGAAAGGGGCTCTGAACTCTCCCTGGAGCCTTGTCCTCTCCAGGTGAGCACTCCCAGCTCTCCCAGCTGGGGTTCAGAGCAGAGGGGCTCAGCCTGGTGGCTCTAGCAAAAACTGGTGACCTGCCCTGCCCAGTGTGTTGGGAAGGTGTTTGATGCCCCTTGCGCATCCTGCAGCTTTTGCCTGCCTGTTCCACAGAGCAGCACGGGCTCAGCAGGCTGCTCACCTCAGGAGTCCTCACACCTTCTTTGGCAGCCAGGCCACATCAGTTACATTAATTCATAACTGGAGGCAGTGGCCATCAGCTTCTCCTCTACTTCGACTTGGAAGACACGTGCAGAGCCATAGGGAACACTAAAACCAAGCAGGAATTGGGTGCTGTGATGCCCTTCTTGTCCCACTGCACAGTGCATGAGCACCCTGTGAGCACTCCCCATGCAGACCCAGCCTGTCCCCAGGGCCAGGGCAGCCCCAGCAGCTTCGCAGAGGCTGATCGAGCACCAGCCTCGGCAGTGAGGTCCTTAAGCAAGGTAATTGTGGGGATAGCTCTGCAGAGGCACTGGATTACAGCAGGCAGGGCTGGGGCTCGGGGCAAGTCGTGCTGGCACCCCCGAGCCTGGCTGAGGAACTGGCTGGTGCTGCAGCCAGAAAAGGTGGGGATGCAGGTGTGGGATGGAGTTCCTGTGAAAGTGCTGTGGTGAGAGATCTGCTAATTAATTCAATACCAAAATACTTGCTTAGGTAGAAGGCTGCTTCTGAAACTCATGCAGATTAAAACGGCAAAGCTGCAGCTCCAACAGTGCTCTGAGGCTTGCAGTCCTCTCCTGAAAGACTCCAAAGATGTGGATCTCAGCATGGCAGTGAGACAACTGCAAACCAATTCCCTCTCAGTCATATGTGCTGGGACCCCCATTCAGCGCATGCAGCAGAGCTCCCACCCCTGTCCTCACAGCAAACTTATCTCTAAAAGTCTCCTGAGGTCCATTCCCCTCCTCTGCCACAGTCAGAGCCCTCCAGATTCCCACTGCAGGGAGCAGAAATTAATTTCCCTTCACACATCTGAGGGGTGGAGAGCACACGTACCACTGCCCCAGGGGAATGTAAAATAAATGGAGGAGCACTGGCATGCTCCAAGCCCTGGAACAGCTGCCATCTGTTTTAAATAACAGGTTGTGGTTGTCTCTGACAGCTTGACCTTGACTATCATTTTTGCCCTGAAGGCTCCTTTCCTTTGGTCCCTTCCCTGATCCTTCCTTCCTTCTCATCCTGCCCTGTCTCCCTCCCAGCTGTGGCTGCCCTTTGTTCCTTCCCAGCTACTAAATCCAGTTTTGTCCTGGAAAGGACCAAGAACACACCGCTGCACCATCACCCCTCCAAGAGCTCACACAAAGCAGGAAATGTGGTTGCTTCCCAAGTTAGCTCTTCTTTCCCTGTGCTGCTGCAGAAGCACAGGAAATGTTTTAATGGATTATTATTCCTCCCATTTCAAACAGGGAGAGAGGAAACTCTGGAGCAGGGATGGTGCCCTGGGGTCCTGACAATCCAGGGAAGCTCATCTGATCTGCACAGCACAACAGGCTGGGCCCAGAGGTGCCACAGGATCAACTCAAAGTGCTGAAACCCAAAAAACATTGAAGGCTTTCGTCAGTTTTCTACTTTACTCTCTCTTAATGCTTCACTCAAAGACGAGCTCTTCAGAAGTTAGTGGAAAACACCCAGCCAGCACTAAAGTCTTCCTGCCTGCCAGTTTTTGATGAAGAAAATCCCTGAGGTTGTAATTTCAATCAATCTATTAGGATATACATTTTTATTCCTTATTACTATTACTTCTGCTTATATAGAAGACAAATAATGTAAGATTCAACTCTCTGAGACTCAAGCTTTGCACTAACTCACTTAGTATCATCCCAATGTACAGCTTAAGTTAGGCCTCGAATATTTCTCAGTACTTCTGCAAATAAATCATTAGATCTGTACCAGTCATTTACCAGCCCAACTTTGCCTGTCCTAATGAGCAACACATTGCATTTATCACCCCCTCTGTCATCATTTATCATGGTGTAGTCCATTAAAATCCTTGAACAAACCTCTCCCCTGCACCGAGGAGCTGCAGGATTTGACCCACTTAAATTTAATAAGAGACAGATTATTTCTGAAGTCTCTCTGATGTTAGTAATTCTCATGGTTTTCTTTTTTTATATTAGGTATTGTTGCCTGGAATTTAAGGCTCAGATTATTAAGTAGATTTATATTTATATTGTCTTATTATTTACTCATGTCTGTTACTTAAAACCTAATAACAAACAATGGCACTATTGCTCAAGTACTTAAGATATCCATAATTGAAATTAGGATCCAGTGCAAATGACTGCTTATTCTGACTCGATGGATAAATAAACATTCATCAGTAAAAGCAATGAGGATAGCAAATAATAAAGAAACCCTTGCTCTCTTTATCCTGTGTCACATGGCCAGGACATGTACCATTGCCTTGAAGGTGGGAAGATGCAGACATCAATATCAAGGATAGGAAAGCACATTGGAAAGTGAAATCTGATATAATTTTGGACATGAAGGTCTTGGGATACCAGCAAGACAAGATTTGAGGGAGGCAATAACATCTTTATTGCACATAGGGATAGAATGATAAAAAGAAAGAAGCATTCAGTCTCAAAATTCTTTTTCAGCTTGCATGCTGTAAAGCTTGTCTGCTCTTCCAAGTATATTATTATGTCTCAGGAATGATATTATCTCTCCCTGCAGACTTGATAGTGCTTAAAATGTCAGCTCTTCTTGAAGATGTCTGCTTTGCACCTTCCATCTGTTCCCAGGGATGAAGCTGCTGTCCATCTCTGCTTCCCACATCTCCCACAGCAACATGGGAAAAGGCAGAGAAGGGTTTCCAAATTAAATATGTTTTTTAGATTAATATTAACCTCATTTCCATACCTCAAACTGTTGGCAGAGACCACAGAACATGGGTATTATATGCCTGCCATGTGAAATACTATTTATAGGAGCCAGCTCTCTGAGTAGGCACAAGAACAAGTTACCAGTTGTTTCAGTGCAATATGCGTACAGTAAAATTAGTCTATAATCCTTAAGAAAAATCTTTTACTGGGAAGAAAAAAGAGTTTAAAAAAAAAGAGTTGGTGGGTGTAGCAAAATTAGTTTGAGTTCTTTTGAAAAAGAAATAAGAAAAAACTAAAGCAAACAGGAAATACCCTAAACTCATATTGTAGATGCTTAGGTAGCATTTATTTTTATTAGAAGCGTACAAAAAACCAATCAGGCTTTTGTGTTCATGTAGCTCAGATAAGGGATGGCATATTCCCCAATTTTGAGAGGGAAGAAAAACAAAAAAATCAGCTGATTTGCCCAGTCACACCACATCCCTACCAGCACACGGAATTAAACCCTGCTCTTTTCCCAAGGAGGTGCCCATCCCACTGTCCTTTGGACAGAGCAGCCCCAGGCAGGGCCAAAGCCAAACCAGCCTTCCCAGGGAATTCCCGATGTGGTTTTACTGCAGGTAAAGAAGGGAGGGTGGGGAGGCCTTTTGGCCGGCTGTGACAGCACACAGCTGGACTGTTCGTGCCATAAAAGCAGGAGGGTTTGGCTGCAGGGAGGCTGTCCTGAGGAGAACACAGGCAGGCAGCCGTAGTAGTTTCCCTGGGCTGCAGATGAAGGCCAGCACGATGCTGGACACCGCGCCACCACCAAGAAGCTGAAGAAGGCGGTGAGCAGCTCCAAGGCCCGCCAGGCCCTGGGGCCCAGCCATGTCACCACGGCCGTGTCACCGAGGCCGTGCCACCGAGGCCCTGTCACCACGGCCGTGTCACCGAGGCCGTGCCACCAAGGCCCTGTCACCAAGGCTGTGTCACCAAGTCTGTGTCACCAAGTCTGTGTCACCAAGGCCATGTCACCGAGGCCGTGTCACCAAGGCCATGTCAACGAGGCCATGTCACCGAGGCCGTGTCACCACAGCTGTGTCACCGAGGCCGTGTCACCAAGGCCCTGTCACCAAGGCCATGTTCACCAAGGCCGTGTCACCAAGGCCGTGTCACCGAGGCCGTGTCACCGAGGCCATGTCACCAAGGCCATGTTACCACAGTCGTGCCACCAAGGTCGTGTCACCAAGGCCATGTCACCAAGGCCGTGCCACCAAGGCCGTGTCACCGAGGCCATGTCACCACAGCCGTGTCACCAAGTCTGTGTCACTGAAGCTGTCACCAAGGCCGTGTCTGCCTCCAAGGAGCTATGGGGGCTCTCCCTCTCCACACTGGCTGCTGGTGGCTACAACATGGAGAAGAACAAGAGCCACATCAAGCTGGGGCTCAGGAGCCTCGTCAGCAGTGGCACCTGGTGCAGACCAAGGGCATGGGTGCCTCTGGCTCTTTCAAGCTGAGCAAGAAGCCGGGTGAGACAAAAGAAAGGGCAATGAAGAAAAGGACAGCTGCCACACCCGAGAAGCCGGTGGCCAAGAAGCCTGCTAGCACTGCCAAGAAGCCAAAGAAAGCAGTGGCAGTGAAGAAGAGCCCCAAGAAGGTGAAGAAGCCGGCAGCCACAGCAGCCAAGAAAGCAGCCAAGAGTCCCAAGAGAGCCACAGAGGCCGGGCACCCCAAGAAGGCAGTGAAGAGCCCAGCTAAGGCAAAAGCAGTGAAGCCCAAAGCAGCAAGCCTAAGGTAGCCAAACCCAAAGCGGCCAAGGCAAAGAAGGCAGTGCCAAAAAAGAATTAAGATGACTGAGAAAAATCGAGAGTCTACTCATTTAAATAAACCCTGTCATCTTAAATAATTTTTTGTCATTACAGTCCTCTAGTGATGTGTCCAGTTACGTAAACCAAAGGTACTGGTACGGGACCTTGACACTCAGAACAGGGTATGCATGCCACCCAGCAACATTGTACCTTTGATAGCTCCTGGACATGATAGTGAAAAATTGATGGGGCACACCAATAGCTAGAAATATTGGGTTTGTCAGTTTGGTGAAGAATTTAATTCTCCTTGCACCATGTTTGTTGTCCCTTCTGCAAAGGGGCCCCGCAGAGAGACAATAAACACGGCTTTTATATTTTGAAACAGAAAACGGGGAGCTGTGAGATCATACAGCTGGACTGTATGCACCAAAAAAGGAGGAAGGGTTTGGCTATGGAGAGCCAACCTCTGAGGAGAAGACAAGTCTGGTCAGTAAGCTGGGTGGTAACCAGTCATAGCCAGCCAGGTTTGAATGTGGAGTATTTTGGATAGGGTGTGTAAGAGCTGTGTAAACCAAAGTCTCTGCTGTATGAACCACGAGTGTTGTGCTGTCTCTCTGTCTCCCCCCATTGTGACAGCCAACAAGGCACCTTTTATACCCAAACCATTTTGCAGCTTTCAGCCAGGGCGAGGTGGTCTTACAGTGAGCACAGGCACAATTTATATCCCCAGAAATTCATTTACACACTGCTCAGGTGGTGCCTGGAGACCTCAGCATCCACAGAATACATGGAGGAACAGGGATCCATTTCCAGTTCTGGGCTGGCCTCTGTGCCAGCATGGCCACCACCCAAACACAGGGGACCAGACAAACACCTGCACTCCCAGGGGAGACCCCAAGCCTCCTGCCAGGCACAGATGGGGCAGCCCAGCCTTTATCCCTTGTCCCTGTGCGCTCACAGCCATGTGCCAGCCATGCTCGCACACACGGCACCGACACAATCCACCCACTCTGCTGGCTCCTTCCCTCAGCATTACGTCAGCCTGTTCCACAGCACCAGAGCCAGCCTGCTCCCCCAACACAGCCCTGCACCCAGGAACTCAAAAATATCCCTCCCTTCTGGTCTTGCCAGCCTCCAGCCAGGGCAAGTTCCACTTGGCTCTGTTTTTATGCTGCTCTCGTGCCACACTGCCATGACTTCATGTGAGTCCAGAACTTGTCTCACCAAGAGCTCAGAGCTGAGCTGCATCCCCTGGTCCGCAGCACTTCCAGGTAGAAGGATGTGATTCCAGCCAGGGATCTCCTAAAATGGAGCTTTTCAACCCTTCCCAGGAGGTCTCTGAGGCCGCGTCTGTCACGGTGTCCCACGTGGGGCTCCGCACACGCATGGGGTGGCTCAGCCCTGCTGTGGGTGTGCATTGCTCCACACTGTGTCTGGAAAACGTGGGCATGGAATGCCTGGAGGTGTGCTACTTCCCTGATGGGTGCTAATTAAAAGTACATTATGAACCGTTCCGTTTATTGGTGTAGAGTCCTTAAAGTTTTGCACTGTTAAGGCTGGTTTTAAACATTTATTATGCCTTATTATGCACTAGCTGACAGCAGGGCTGGGATCACTGCAGCTGATTCAGTTGCTGCTTTTACCAACTGCATTTAAAAGAAAGTCTTAATTTTTCCATCTGTGAACCTCCCCTCCATTTTTCCCTTCCTCTCACTTTGTTTCCCTTTGCGTGTGGTTCCTACATTTATGGTGGTCCTCTTTGGCAAACTAACAACGACCAGCTGAACAATCACAGGGAACAATTTTTCTACCCCTGCCATCCCTCCACACACCAAGGAAATCCAAGGTCATTTAACCTGTTCTTCCCAGGTGTTTCTGCTTTTCCCCTTTTTGAAGTAGAAATACTGTCTACTTTCATCCCTGTTATGATTATTTTAATGTCAGAAGTAACATCAGATGTGATTTTGCCCTGTACATTCCCAGGATATCCATTGGGAATATTGCTCATGCATGCAAAAGCAGGTCACAGACATACTAAACCCAACTGAAATTGAGTCTGGTCTTCAAAACAAACTTCCTCCATACTCAAGGTAAAACACTGAGCAATCTTGAATCATTAAGAGTACTAAATGCCACCTTCTCTTTCAGTAAATACATACTAACAATTTCAGACACTTTTCCCATTTTGTTCCAAGTCGTTTGTTTTTTCCAAGATCATCCTTCTTTACAAGAATGCAGGACAGTAGCAATTTCCTCAGGAAGCTCATAAAAATCCTTATTCAGTATATTCCAGAAAATTATTCTGAGGAATAAAAAGCAAATTAGAGCACCCACCTCCTATATTTTTCAGAGTATTTACATGTATTATGGCTCTTGAGATGATTAAATGCCACTGAGTAAGCAAGGAGACTTTTACTGCGAAAATCCTCAAGCTTTGTTTAAAATAAGTTATCTTTGATCTCAGCACCCAGTCATAAAGGGAGGATCACCAAAGACACCAGTGTTTCTGTGAAGATGGTGTTCATGAGATGACACGCAGCCTATCCAACACCTTCCCTCCTGTGGCACTGATCATGCCAGCCCCAGTTTTCCCTGGGGATTCCAGCCCTCCGAGCAATTGCGGCAACCTCCTGGCCCTTTGCCACTCAGCCCGGGATATTCTTGGCAGCAGTGAGAAGGGCACTTGTTCCAAATAAGGAGAAATCTAGAAACTGGTTTGTCTCCAACCAAATCCACCAAAGCTCTCGGGGCCGGACACGGGCGGGGAGAAAAAACACCCACAAAAAACTCAAATGAAGCAAAAGTGAACTTCTGACTGTCTGTCTCGCCAGCACCAGCTAAATCTCATTAAAGAGCCACAATGATGAAATACATTGACAGTAAGTGCAACAGACTTGAAGAAAGACCTTAAAATGTTTATGCTAATGCAAAGTTTCAGTTTCACATTCCACACAAGCTTTCCAAACAAGAACAGTGCCAGAAAGCATGGAAGAACAATCTTAATTTTACTTTTCTAAAAAAGTTCAAAAAAAAATATCAAGCAAAAAAATTCAAGCACCAAATCCCCAATTTTCCATTTTTTTTCTCACCACCTGCGTATTTTGCTGGACAGGTGAAAAAAAAAAGGCTTCCCTCAGTTTGCTCAGTTTGCTTGTAAGACAAACCTCTGTTGGAGCTATAAGCTCCTTCAGAGTCTAGAGGAACAACGTGAAGCAGCTGGTGCCTGATTTACACCATGGAGGAGCCATCCCAGTAACTCCACAGCCACCCCCCACATAGCAGGGAGGCACCCCTGTGCAGAGACTGAATAACTCAACACTCTGAAAACAAAAGAAAAACCCCAAGAAAGCTCAGTCCCAGTTCTATTCCAAATCTATTATTTAGTCTGACTGCCCCTGCTCAATTTCCTCCACTTTGATCAACTAATGACCAAGAAAAGCAATTACCAGCATAAGGAAAATATATTCTTAGTATCTTTGAACTGCTGTGGCAAGTGTAAATGCATTCCTTTCATGAGAACAGAGGAAATATTTCTTCAGTGGCTAAGATGAGAAATGAAGAGGAAACAAGTAGGAGGAGGTAGGGGAGAGACTATTATTTTATTAACTAATTAGATCAGCATTGAAAGAAAACAAGCCTGCAAATCTCTGCATTATTGATTGTGCAGATATACTGCAATGTACAGCAGAGATGATGAAACCCTGAGATGTGCATTTGGAAATGGCTTGTCCTGCGTGGACAGGGGAGTACAACAATCTACAAAATAACTGAGTTATTGTCACTGACAGGTTTGGGGAAATGATGTGTGCAGGTAAAAACTGGTTTGCAGCCTGTTCTTCAAAGTCTTCCAGTGCCAGCACATGAGAGAGAACAAATGCCTCTGCCATTTCTTTGGTTTTTTGTGTATTTCCATTAACATCTCCACTGCCACAGTTCCAGTTGGCTACAGCACCACCAAACATGCCAGAATAAACCCAAGCAGCTCTGCAATAACAATGGGCCCAAAACGGACTGAACCACTTCAGCACCAGCTGTGGGCTGGGCCAGACACCACCAGAGCAGTGCCCCAGCCTGCCCTACACGGTTCCCTGGGGGGGAGATGATGCTGAAGGACATGAACTGAAAATCCCCGATACCCTCTCAAAAACGAACACGTGGGAGCAAACATTTAACATTAAACTCTACACTTCTACAAAAACACTCCAAGAAAGAACAAAACAATGCCTTAAAAAAATAAAAACAAAGAGTGGAATTTGGGGAAATATAAATCATCCTTTATTAATGATTTCCCAGGGCACTCATTCAACAACACACACTGAAGTCCCAAAGGTGCAGAGCAGCTGCCTTCCAAACCTGCAATGCTGCAGTTTAAAGGCATGGTGTAGTGTAGAATAATATTATTGCTTAGGATCTAGCCTGGCAGCTCAGAGGCTCAGCTGGGCAGTGAGCTCCTCACGCTAGTGCAGGCTCTCAGGCATCAGGGAGAAAGGGTGGATGTTTCTCTTCCTGACCTGTGCTCTTTTAAAGGGGAGAGAAGTGATGAAATGAAGATCTCCTGCAGTAGGGTAAAAGCAAGAGAACCCACAGGAGGCAGCTGCAGAAAGTGGAATTCCTCAGAGAAAGAGGTGGAGATTGTTGGGGGTTAGAGGTACCAAAGTTACCAAAAGAACTGTGAACTCCTGGATTTCCAAGGATGGGGAGGCTGGGAAGTGAGGATGGTGAGAGCTTTCAGAGTCCTGAGAAGGTCACACTTCATGTGGAAAACCAACTCTGCACCACCTGCCAAGGGACTCGGACTACCCAGGTGAGGTGCAGATGATCTGCCCAACACACCCATGGCAGAGCTGTGAACACCCACAGCCTCCCTCTCCACCCAAACCAGTAAAAACACAGGGAAAACCTCCTGAAGTCCAACCACCCAAAATGCTCCAACACCCCCTCCACGCAGGGGTCAAGTCTGACTGAAGGCTGGGGAGCCTCAAACTGCATTCTGGCAGCTCTAACTCTGCCTGTTGGCTCTGGTGTCCTCCCACACTGGAG